TGCGGGCCCTCCCCCTGTTGCATGTTTGTCTGTATTGGACTTGTGTCTCCCCCTCTCGGGGGTTCTGTCCTAAAAAAAATTCTTTAGAATTCCCTTGGTAGCTTGAGCACTGCGATTTATCTGAGATGTTGGGACATGTTCATTGTCTGTGTCCGAGGTCTCAGACGTCACGTAGTACAATAGTCAGACTCTCCCTGTTCTATAATCATCATTATCTCTAAGAAATTTACTGTGCTTGCGGTATTTAATAGTACTCTGGAATTTGTTGAGGTTCTGTTGTAGTCTTTGCTCCTGGGTTTGAAAGGAGGGGTCTTCCTTACAGCTTTGGATACCCTCAACTGCTGCCTTTACTTTTTCATCCACTGATTTTAGTCTATTGGATTCGAATCTACATAAAATATCCATAAATTTCCTCGAGCAAGTGTTGGATGCCTCCTCCCACTCTTGTAATAAGGAGTTCTTATTTATGCAAACTTTTATATTGACTTGCTGAGGATATTCAATCATAATTTCGGAACTATATTAACATTTGAGAAGGAGCAAATGAATTAACGTATGGAAGAATACAACTTATCCACGATGTCCATTTAAGGTAAGAAAAGAACAAGACAGCTTGTGTCAACAGAGTGCATGTACAGATCAGGAGGCAACAGGTACTTGTACCAGATCTCAGCATGATTAGTTCAATCAATAGAGAAAATGAAGCACATTAACCTTTGTCCATCATAATAAAAACTTGGTTATCTTCTGCATATGATGCTTGCACAGATTATATGGTTAGTTAATGCCTAGTCAAGCATACGTGAAAAAATGAAACAGAAGCAGGTAATGTTCGAGAGACAGAAAAAGAGAGATAATTTTTGCTTCTGTCTAACATACTAAAAAAACTGCTAAAAATGTCTAACTTTAATTGAACTCTATTTTAAAGTATTTTTGATTTCAGACAATGGCCTCAGTTTAATATTGTTGGTTAAGCTTTTCGAATGATTTCATATTTTTGGATAAACTTTTAACATTATTTTCTCAAAATATTAAAAAATTTGAAAACATATATTAAAAAACCTCACATAAAAAAATCTAAATATTAAAAAATGGTTTTAAAAAAACAACAACATTTAATGATTTTAAAAGTGTACCCAACAATAATAATTTGAGGCCCTATGTCTATAAATTTATTCTACACAATTTTAAAACATTTCAGTGATATTCTGCCCCCAGTTTCCCACATAATTCCATACACATGTTATAAAACAATTTAACTTTTTTGTTAAACTGGTAAAAATCGAACTACAGAACAAACACTACACAGACCTGTCGCATTAATGGAAAATAAAGCAAAATTCATATTTCCTTTACAAAGAGAAGTGATAGAAAGATCTCATTGTGATGAGGTATTGTGACATAAGATGTCATTTGTGTTAATGACATATGGAGAGTGGAGTGAATTATTGGTAGAGAGGTGAATGTTGCATCTATACACATTCCAACTAAAATACAAAAATCTGTTTTTATGTATATCTGAAAATTTCCGCCACTTCACCAGACTGTGACAAGTAGACATCAAGCAGAAAGTAAACAAATGTTGGTGCCCTGCATATCTGTCATTGGTAACGCATTTTTCCTGCTATAGTTAGAATAATTTTCCTGGCTTTAACTCAACTATAATATATTTGCCTAATATGAAAATGGTCCAAGTTAAGTGACTCTAAACCATATTGTTAATGCTTTTGAAATTCACATAATCATATTATGTATTAAAGAATACATTCTACTTAAAAGCATCTGACTTAGAAAACTGTTATGATCCAGTGCCGACAAGTATCTTTACCCCTTCAGTCTTAAATAATATAATATTTTTATTTTCTTTTATATTGCATATTTTGAGTATATGCCAAAAACTCTGGTGTGTCAGCCCCCCATGGTGACACAATTTCCCCACTAGCCCGTCCCCTTTACCTCCCTCCCACCTATGTCCCAATTCGCATATGAAATAGTGACTGTCCCACCAAAAATTGGGACAGTTGGGAGGCATGGATTAGCTTACACAGTTAGTATTTGGAGATGCAGGTTTTATTCTTTTCATCATTTTGCTTTCACTACTTTGTGCAATCTAGTTGGGTTTAAATTCTTAATGTATATTCTGCAGCAATTTTATAACTTCTATTTACCTTTTGTTATTTCAATCAGAATATACAAATACCAAATTAGAAATAAACAGTATACTCTAGCTTGCCACTTATTATATATTCACAGAAATCTATATATGGAAAGCATATAAAATATACATAGACAACAACAATACTTGCAATAAAATTAAAGTATAATCTATACAATTTTTGTTAAAGCTGAACTGTTACTAAATTCATCCAATGGAGCTTAATTTCACATTCTAATTATAATACTCAACTCAGAACATTTAAAAGGACCAAACACAATTTGTGAAACACTTGCCAAAAAACGACTTCAATGCTATTTTCAGCCTAACAGCTACAGAGAAGATGGTAAAAGCAAACAGTCCATTAAAAACACATGAATGTTTTGGGGTTTCGTGAATATGCATAGGTTTTCCACAAGATTGATTTTAATTTTAATAGCAATCAATAGATCGGACATGTGACTAAACTTTAACAACCTTATGACTTAAAGGACCACTATAGGCACCCACACCACTTCAGCTTAATGAAGTGGTCTGGGTGCCAGGTCCAGCTAGGGTTAACCCTTTTTTTTTATAAACATAGCAGTTTCAGAGAAACTGCTATGTTTATATTAGGGTTAATCCAGCCTCCAGTGGCTGTCTCTTGACAACTGCTAGAGGCGCTTGCGTGCTTCTCACTGTGATTTTCACAGTGAGAAGATGCAGGCGTCCATAGGAAAGCATTGAGAATGCTTTCTTATGGACTGGCTGAATGCGCGCGCGGCTCCTGCCGCGCATGCGCATTCAGCCAAAGAGGAGGAGAAGAGGGAGGAGAGCTCCCCGCCTGGCACTGGAGAAAGAGGTAAGTTTAACCCCTTTCTCGCCCCAAAGCCCGGCGGGAGGGGGTCCCTGAGGGTGGGGGCACCCTCAGGGCACTATAGTGCCAGGAAAATGAGTATGTTTTCCTGACACTATAGTGGTCCTTTAAAGAGACACTCAGGTCACCTTAACAACTTAATTGCAATTATGTTGTTATGGTGCACGGAAGCCTCAGGCTTAATCTTAAGTGACTTGGTTTAGACCATTGTTAAGTCTCCAAGTGTCTGATCGTTGATCGCTCTTAACCTGTCATTGGATCCCCATTGAGAAAAGTGAAAGAAAAAGTATTTTTTTATGAAAATCTAGAGATTTTTTACGCTGCCATCTTATCCATGGTATCCTGATTGAAGTCTCATACATTGAGAGGAAGGGCAGGAGCTGAGCGATCTGATGCTTGCTTGCAGACCTTAATTGTTAAACAGTTCATTAGGGTTTAATTCCTTCATGCAAAACGGAGGATGGAACCTCCTTGAACCATTACAACTTAATTGTAGTTCTTATTGTGCCCCGGAATGTTCTTTTAACGTAACACATACTCAAAATGGAATCCTTACAAGTTGGGCCTTGTAATGCCTGCTACTATTTTCTTTTGGTAATGTAATCAATAGATACAAATAATATGTCACTGAGAAGTTCAAACAGGACTAAACATAGGACATGAGGTCATGCATTTAGATTTAGAAGATTTAGTCTAATGCAAAGGAAAGTTTTTTTTAACCGTGAGGAAAATAAGGATGTGGAATTCTCTGCCTGAAGAAGTGGTTTTATCAGAGTCTGCACAGATGTTTAAACATCAACTAGATGCATACTTGCAAAAACATAATTCAATTATATATCTCTTCAACTGTAGGGTAATAGCTTCTTGATCCAAGAATAAATCTGACTGCTATTCTGGGGTCAAGAAGTTTTTTTTCCCTGGTTTGTTGCAAAATTGGAAGTGCTTAAAACTGTTCTATTTTTTTGGATCAACAGCAAAAACACAGCTTTGAGGAAGGCCAAACTTGATGGACACATGTCTCTTTTCAACCTATTTAACTATGTAACTATATAAAACAGGTATTCTGTTAAATTGATTCCTTGTGATTGGAGGTGGAGTTACACCTCTGGCAGCAAAGGGTTTAATCTCCTTTATGTGCAGCATTTCATAACATAACATTAAACATAGAAACTTCAGGAACCGTGACCACTTTAAATCAAGTGGTCATGGTACTTAGGGTAACCATTCAATCATGCAAAATATAGAGCATTTTAATAAGGTCAAGACTTATTAAATGCATTAAAGTTGCATTAGTGCCCAGAGTGTTCCTTAAAATCTTTTTTTCTTTGCAATATAATTCTAAATATCCTTTTTAATAGGGTTGGAGAACATGTGCTTTCAGATTTAATTGTATCACTTACTGTTCTTGGAATCTGCTGGAACGGAACACTGTGAGGTTTTCCTGTTCTGAAACTGAAATATTGTCATGGAAAGCCGTTGCAGGTACCAGTTTCACTCTGTAAGTGGAAAGAAAAACTCAAATCAATTACCAAAGATTTTGTTATATAACCACTGTAACAACAAATCCTAGATGTGATTAACATAAGAACTTTAAAGGGAAACTCTACTGGCCGAAATGGAAGCTATTTGTTATCCTAAACTCAGTTCTCCCCTTCCCTTGGACCCTTGTAACCCCCCCTTTTAACCTATAAAAATTTATCCAAATATCCCTTTTATTACCTTATTTCTAGCACCGTTCACACATCCAGCCTCCCTCGTCTACTCCCCCTGCCGCGTCATCCGGTCAACTGACTTTCCTTGCTTCGCTCCACCAATGAGCTTATTCTCACTTGGAAGCATTGAGAACTTAGAGAGCATGTGCATTAAGTGCAGTGCCCCGCCTATCATACGCTTCACGTAGAAATTAATTGTATCTCATTGAATGTGCAGCGGTAAAACGACACCGCACATGCTAACACTATAGTGTCCCTCTGCCTTCTCTTCCTCTGACTCTACTGTTATCTGACCAACTGCTGCTCAACCTAACTTACCTGCTGCTGCAATTATTTATTCTGCTCTGTACAGCAGGCAAGTTAGGTTGAGCAGCAGTTGGTAAAATAACCGTAGAGTCTGACCCAGCATGGCATAAAGTGACATTTTCTCCCCCCAAAAAATCAATACACATCTTAAAAAAAAAAAAATCATCATTAAAGGGACACTATAGTCACCAGAACAACTACAGCTTATTGAATTTGTTCTGGTGAGTAGAATCATTACCTTCAGTTTTTTTGCTGTAAACACTGTCTTTTCAGAGAAAATGCAGTGTTTACATTACAGCCTAGTGATAACTTCACTGGCCACTCCTTAGATGGCTGTTAGAGATCCTTCCTGGGTCATGGCTGCCTAAAATGCATCCAAACATTCAGTGTCTCCTCCCTTTGCATGCAGACACTGAACTTTCCACATAGAGATTCATTGATTCAATTAATCTCTATGAGGAGATGTCGATTGGCCAGGGCTGTGTTTGAATTGTGCTGGCTCTGCCCCTGATCTACCTCTTTGTTAGTTTCAGCCAATCCTATGGGGAAGCATTGTGATTAGATCAGGCTACCACTTCTGCTGATGTCAGCAGGCAGTGGGCAGCTCTAAAGTAAACAGTGACAAAGCAAACAGCTCCAGACTTGAATACAAGTAAGATTTACTATATTTAGGGAGGCATGAAGGAACCAGGGGGCTAGATGGTGGGTTTAACCCTATAGGGCCAGGAATACATGTCTGTGTTCCTGACCCTATAGTGATTAAATGATAGTGATTAAATGTAATAAACTTGAAAAATTAGAACAGAAAATTCTGAAAATGACAGCTGTCCTTTAACCCCTTAAGGACCAAACTTCTGGAATAAAAGGGAATCATGACATGTCACACATGTCATGTGTCCTTAGGGGTTAATTCATCTTTTACATCAAGTGTTTTACTGATCCAAACTGATTTCAACAGCACACAGAGCCTGTTTAAACAGAACACAATTTAAATAGATAAAAAAAACCACAATGCTAAACATCCTTAAACCCAAAGGTTTCGAAGGTGGACATAGTTATCCTATATTCAATATGTATTTTTCCATAATGGTGATTTTTAGCTATAGAGATATGAAGAACAATCAGTGAATCAGGTGTATTTCTGAGCGAGTACCTAGAATCATAGTTTGCCCATGTTCTATAGTTCAGTGCCTACAAGCAGAAGTGGGATCACCGGCAGTTAAGAAAATCATATAATGCTAACGGAAGCCACTAAGAGTATACCTGTCATCTTAGTATTAAAAAGATTTTTCTGAAATTCTAAACATATTCGGTTTTTACTTGGGAATTGTCAGCAATTAGCATCCATGTGAGTCATTGTGTAGTTTAGTCAATAAACAACCATATATCTGCTACAATTTGAACAAAAAACCTAGTTTTACTCTTTATACAACTGTATTTGGAAATGCAACTTTTAATGGAGAAAAGGATAAAGGAAAACATACCGAATCCTTCCATCAAATGATTGAGAGTATATAAGATTTTTTACAAGCTTCCTGGAGAGTACTTTTTTTCTGACAGGATCACTTCAAACAAAGTGTGGGAACCATAAAGATTTTTTTTAGAAAGCTAAAAATAATGACAGCATGTGGGATATATAACATTACTCGCTCCATTTTACAGCCAATAAAAACAAAAGTAGCAGGACTTATCAGCATTATTACATTTTGAAAGAAGAAAAAAATGTCAGTTTCTATCATGTATTTAATCCCTCGTCTTTATGAGATGGCACAAAAAAAAAAAAAGTCTATTGGTTTTTCAAATCACAAATATTATCTTTACACGCAATGCTCTTAGAAGGATTAATGCGAACACAAAACCGTGGGTTCAGCAGACGCTAGGTACACAGAAAGAGAGTAAACATTCAGACCTAATCGTCAAGAAGAACATTCCACACTTTTAACAATCCCTGAAGGTCAACATAAACAGCAAACCTAAATAATATATTGTATTTAATAAAGGAGTATATATTTCTAAAGTGCACTCTGAATATATTGTATTCAATAATAATGGAGTTTATATGACTACAGGACACGCTGAATATATTGTAGTTAACAATAAAATATATATTACTATGAGACACGCTAAATATATTGTATTTAACAATGTATATTTGACTAAAGTGCATTCTAAATATATTGTATTTAATCATAAAGTATATATTACTAAAAGACACGCTAAATATATTGTATTTAACAATAAAATATATTTGACTAAAGGACATGCTAAATATATTGTATTTAAAGGGACACTATGGGCACCCAGACCACTTCATCTTATTGAAGAGGTCTGGGTGCAATGTTCCTGTCCGTGTTAGTGTTAGTTTTTGCGAAATGTCAATGTATACACTGCAGCACTAAGAGAGCCTCTAGTGACTGTCAGACAGCAACTCAAGAGCGCTTCAATGAGTTTGCAGGACTCTAGGTTCCCTAAATGACGCTGGATGTCCTCATCATCTGCATTAAGGCATCCACTATTAGTGAAATTCCCATAGGAAAGCATTGATATATTGCTTTCCTATGGTGAGGGCACTCGGTTCCCCACGTCAGATGACGTTGTAGGAGGCTGAGCACTGATTCAGCGCAGAGGGACATTGGTGCTGAAATAGTGTGAGTGAGTTTGTTTCTTTATCCCTTTATTTAAAGGGGATAGGGCAACAAGAGAGGGGGGCAAGGGGGAACTATAGTGTAAAGAATACAGCTTTGTATTCCTAACTCTATAGAATCACTCTAATAATAAAATATACCTCTCTAAATAACAAGTTAAATATATTGTATTTAAAGGGATTCTCTAGTGCCAGAAAAACAAACCCGTTTTCCTGGCACTAGAGAATCCTGGAGTGCCCCTCTCCCTCCTGCCCCCAATCCCATATCTCTGAAGGGATTAACACCCCTTCCGACACTTACCTGAACCCAGCACCGATGTCCCTCTGCGCTGGGTCAGGCTCCACGCACGCTCCTTCCCAGCCGACGGGGGAGACCTAATGCGCATGCGTGGCAATGGCCACGCACGCACATTAGACCTCCCCATAGGAAAACATTATTCAATGCTTTCCTATGGGGATTCCGGCGACGCTGGAGGTCCTCGTGCATAGTGTGAGGACGTCCAGTTTTGTTTAGACGACCAAAAGTCGTCTAAGAAGCCACAAGTCCCTCTAGTGGCTGTCTGGTAATTACACTTGCAGGGTTAAGGGTGATGGGAGTTAGCACCCAGACCACTTCAATGAACTGAAGTGGTCTGGGTGTCTACAGTGTCCCTTTAAAGGATCATTTCTATTCATTGGATTTGTTTTTTTACCTTGATAATTAGTTGTATTTTTGCCCACTTTTGTGTAGTTCTTGGAAATAAAATCTGTTGAAGGCTTTTTTTCATTTTGACCTCACCTCCTCTGTCCCAGCTCTCCCATTCTAAAAACCTCCATCTTGCTGGTTACTGTACAATACAAACACTGCTCCCTTTCTGTCTCTCCCTCCTATCCGTCAGTGACATCAGGAAGCACAGTAAAGTTTTATGGAGTTGTAGTTCCGTTAACAGCTTTCATAAGAAGAAACCTGAAACCATACCTTTCAGCATTTCAAAAGAATAAAAAGGGACACTTTAATTTTAGGGGTGTGAGTGGGAGTGTGTCCAGAGGTGGGGCTTGTCTGAGATATTTTAGTCAACTTACTAAAATCAATTTATGCTATTAAAAAGTAATTTAGAACAATAACAACGTATCTGATGTTCACTGAGTGATTTCAAAACACATTTATTGTAGTTTAAAGACACATTACTGGGAATATTATTGCTGTGCAGCTCTTTTATACACAGAGATCCACCAGTAATAGGGAGCTTGCAAAAAAGAAGGACATTAAGATAGAAAAGTGTGACAGAGGGATTTGGGCCAAAAATAGACTCCCTCCCAAATAGCAACACTCAGTAAACTACAAGTCCCAGAAACCCTTGATCTAAGCAGAAAACAGGCTGTGAAATCTGCTTATTAGACTTATACTTTATCTTCTTGTACCCCTCTTATGCATTATTATTTGCAATGTTGGGTTTAAGTGGCTCTGCCACTATATTCACTGTCTGCCCTCAGCGTTTCTCTAGTTCCCCTGAAATCCCTAATGATAATTAGTGGCCCTGGAATGCATGCTACTTACCTGAATTTGTGCTGTGCTTGTCCCACGGGGTCTTTATTCACAGTGCCACTATCTTAGCATTTCTGTGATGATGTATTCCTTTCACTATAGCTCCCTCTGCCTCCCACCCCCCTCATTTTACATTGAGCAATACTTGCAAAAAGACACTGTACCCAGCCCACTTTAATAAGCTGAAGTGGTCTGGGTGCTTACAGTGTCCCTTTAACTCCACATAATAAGTTATCTATTTTTTTTTAATGCATTTTATTATATAGTCATGTTTAAGGTTGCTTACTCCCATGGCCAATCAAATCCAACCTACGTGGTTCACAGAACTGACTAGTGGACTACAAAGTTTCAATTAAAGTAGCTGATTGAGAATATAACCAATTTAGAAAATATTTCCATTTTGACAATTTAAGCCAAAAAAGTGGTTTTCCTGTAACCAATTCACAAATTTAGTAGTTTAGTTTAAAAACCTTTACTTTAAAAAGAAGTCTGCGTGGCAGATTATGCTGCAGGCCTCTAATGTATAGCTGCTGAATAGTGACTCATTAGGTATGTAAAGGGAGTTGGTTATGGAACCTCACCTTATTAATTACTTTACGCTTTCAGCTACAAATGTCCTTAAATATGCTATCCAATGAGTATTTCCATTTATCAAGAGATTGGTATGAATATTTTTAGGTTTTAATGTTTCATTTAATTGAAGTGGACTGATCACCTACGAGTATGTTGCCATATCAACAAACAGGGTGGAACAGTGATGCGAATCATGTCACTGGTGCTGCCCAAAGAGGGCAGACCTGCTCAGAAAGTGGGCATGTCAACCCAAAGAACTGGAAGGGCAGCCTGGTGTGAATACACGTCAGGCTAAATGCTAATCAAGCATGTTGGCCCACTGACGGTAGTCCATGCAGA